AGCTCTCTTCAAGTCTTACATTGATGTTTATCATAAACGTAAACATTAAAGATAAGAGCAGCGGTGAGATGTCAGGGCGTTAAATGATCCGTGTTTCACCCGTCACTCTCCGAGGACGCTAATAGCACCTACATGATAAAAGAGATCACACATTTTGTCTCGCTGGTTTTTGTTGAGTATTTATATGATGGTGTGTTGGGTTCAGTGTAGCCAAGAAATTACAATTAATGTGAGTAATATTTCAAGAAAACAGCTCATTTTTTCAGTGTCCCTGACATGTTTTATATCAAACATATCAATATATATCATATATAACAAAAATATCAGACTAGAGCCACTACAGTTGTTGTAGTGAACAGAGGGAGCACGTTTTTAAATGCAGTTTTTGGACAGCGGTCATACTTTGTGACATGTGTGCGTTCTGGTCAGAGGGGGAAATCTGACAGGCTGGCTCTGCTGGCATGGCTCTGCTGCAACATGTGGTCCCCACTGTCCTGGAAACCACTGCAAGTGATGCAAAATTGTATTTACATGCTTTTAGGTGCTGGTTTCACAGCACCATCGTTACCCTCAGCATGCTGCTGTTGAGAAAGGCCTACAGTGATAAGTTAACCAGCTGATGTGTCGTATCCTCAGCCTCCTCGACGTGCTCTCTGATCATCTGAATGCTGAGATCGCTGCAGGAACCATCTCATCCAAGCAGGACGCCATGGACTACATCACCTGGACGTACCTCTTCAGACGGCTGATGATGAATCCCAGGTTAGCCCAGCACACACACACACACACACCTGTGCATAGTGTAGACACAGCCTGGTTATTGCTGTGATGTGTTGTTCAGTCAAACATCTGCTATGTAGACAGAGCCCACTCCAGAACATTCCAGCCTGTTGGTAATTGCACGCCTGTCATCCCACATTTACCACTGACGGAGGCCCAGCAGTGGCACTGTAACCCTGCAGGCCTGTGAGTCCAGATGATATCTGGATTCAAACTGGGATTTTGGGTCAGTGTTCACATTTCAGAGAGGCTTTGGAGCGTCGCTGCATTCATTTGTTGTCATCTGCTGCAAACTGTGGACAGCGTCTGTGTGCGTGCCTCACTGCAGCCCTACTGACTTCACTGTTTCTCACTGAAAGATGAAGGAGTCATTTGATCATCAATGTTATAAACAGCATTACAATTACAAAGCAGCCTGCTGGGTTTCTAAATATTGTTCAAAGTAAATTATTATACTTTTGTTTGCCTGACAGCTCCGTGTTGTTTATATACAGACACCGGACTGGTAAATGAACTGGTTCTTGCATCGCGCTTTTCTACTCATCTGAGCACTCAAAGCACATTTACACAAGCACTTTTTCCTAAGTGCTCCCTAACTACATGCACACACATTCACACTCTGATGGATGCATCGGAGAGCACGCCCAAGGATATTTGGCATGCAGACTGGAGGAGCCTGGGATTGAACCTTCCGGGCAGTAGGTGACCTGCTCTACCTCCTGAGCTGCTGGAGATGGAAACCAGTCAGAAATGGATAACTGGATCAGATATCAGACTGGTTCAGCTGCACAGAAGAAGCATGTGTGCTCTCACCTCCACAGCACATATCTGTGATGTCATTGTTGTTACGCTGAGGTGATTGGACAGGGTTGGAGCATAGGAGCTCTCTTCATCGTGACAGGCAGGTCGTGTCTGCATCACTTCCCCTGTTACCCCTTTGATAAGAGCAGTAAGGCTCCCAGCCGTGTTCAGAGTGTGTTTGACAAACGCAAACAACAGCAGCTTCAGCTCTGGATCAAACCATTCCCGTCTCCCTGCTGCCATCTCCTCCTGAGAAATGGAAGAACCCAAAAGTTCTGTTTCTTCCTTTTCTCGTGCAGAAACTTGCGGACAGCTCATCAGTGCTCACCACCTTTAGCAGCGCATGTTGTGAGGATGAATTTTCCACAGAAACACATGGTGTTCAGTGTGTGTATATTTACATGTTACATGAACACAAATTCACAATTTCATGTGTCGTTTTCACGACACGCTGGGTGTGTAACAGCAGGAATGCAGGACAGCCTAGTTATAGCTGACTCTTTCTGTGTGGGATCCAAAGACTGCGTTCCTGTTAGGTCTGCAGCCAGAATGAAAGAGACGTCTCTTTACACTCAGCAACTCTATCCCTGTATCTGCCTGTGCTGGCTCTACACATGATCCAGATCTCAGCCTGACACCAGAGTTGTGGGGACAGTGCTGAGCATGCTGCAGATGAGTGGGCGCGTTCAGATTTTACCAGAGTCCGACTGAGAATAGAAATAAATGTGAGAATCACCTTTGAATAATATTCCATCTGTCCTGAGCACTCGATTAAAGTCTGATAAAAACTCCTAGTAAGGACGGACAATAAACCACAATAACACAGATGTGTTTTCCAGTTGGGCTGCACATTGCTGAGAGTCTTTCAGATGAATTGTAGGTGTAATGATGGCTGAATCCTGACACACGGCTGTTGATTCATTTAAACTAACTTAGATGAGATTAGATGAAACTTTATTAATCGCTCGGGTGGGAAGTTCAGTTTCCAGTAGCACAGCACCGATACAAGGTGCATGTTACAGATACAATAAAGAGCAATGAGAGTAAGGATATAAGCATAAATATACACATATATAATATATATGTTTACTTTACTTTAAACATAATTTTGTTAATTTGGTGATTAGTTATTAAATCAAAGATCCGCAGTTTGAGCCCAAGAGGAGAATCCCCCCGAGGAGCCCCCACCCTGCTGAGCTCCCTGTGTGGAGACCCACTGAAAGTTTCACTTCCAGGTTCTGGGAATAGCTGCCTAACAGAGCACATCCAGCTGAAAGGTTTTATTATTGTTTCATTTGTGAGTCTTCTCTGCTGTTGGAGCTGATAGGAGAGGAAGCAGCACCGTGCTCCCTCTGCAGAGGAAGCAGCACCGTGCTCCCTCTGCAGAGGTGGGTTCAGTTACCTGTGAAGCTTCGGTGCTTTCTGGACCTTTTTGTCAGCTAACAGTAGTTCACCTGTAGCTGGGCGGGCAGAGAGTTTTTGGCTAACAATAGTTATTTCTGTGTTTGACACTCAGTGATGGTGAGCTCAGCTGACACATCAGACACACACACACAGAGACACACAGACACACACAGACACACACACACACAGTGTGTGACAGCAACACGCTCATAAATGAGGCCATCAACTGTCTCCACGGCTGCTTCGACTCCTTCAGCTGTGATGTCACCTCCGTGCGCTATGAAAGGTTTGGTATAATGACATCATTGTTACATGGTTTACATGCACGACTGTACAAAGACGTCTTCCTCCACCTCAGACAGCGTTTGCATCACACACAGTTCTGATGATCCGTGTTCATCCTGTTAGTGCAGACAGAGAGTTTGTGTCAGGGAAGTGCTGCTGCCTCAGTGCTGCTGCTTTAAACCAGACCAAGGAGGAGGAGGAGGAGGAGCAGGAGGAGCGCTGCATGTGAATGTTATCACAGTACAGCCTGATTTAAAACTGGATCCCTGTGAAACCGTAAGTGTTTAATAAAGTCAGAGGTGAGCAGAGCTGCCTGACACACGAGGAGTCATCCCATCA